TTGTTTAAAAAGCACAACTAGTGTTTATGAGATCGTAAAATATTTCTAAGAATTTACATGATCCCAAACAACAATGATGTGCTTAGATATTAAATAGGTTCCAAAGGAAAAAAGGAAAACTGCAATCAAATTTCCTAATTCCTTTCACCGGTTTCAAATATGTTCACTGCTGAAATAGGAGATTAGAAGATAAACTATTTAGTCTAAAAATAGGAAAAGGCAAAGAAAGCAATTTTCCTGTGGAAGTAAATAGAAAGGATTTAAAAATTCTAGCTTGTATGTAAATAACTTCTAAATTCCGGAAATGATTTAGTCCTCCGGTAAGTAATGCCACTGGTGTGATACAGCATTATATAGAGGCAGGTGTTACCAAGTGGAATGATCAACATTCTTTAAAAATATGAAAAGAATCAGGTGAATTGATTTGGGATTTACAATAGTTGTCTTCTGTTATCTACACAAAGAGCTCAGAAATTTTTTTATATAAAATTTTTTGTAAGAGTGCTCACTCTATATTAGCTCAATTTGATAATATGTGAGACGCATAAACAACATTATTGTTCCTTTTTCTCATTTTTTCCTTTAATTCTACTTCTACCGTGAGTTTTAGCCTCTTTGAAGTGATATGCATATATGTACATAATGCTTCACTGAATATATATATATCATACTACTATACATCCTTTTATATACGCGCGTGTGTGTGTGTGTGTGTGTGTGTGTGTGTGTGTAAATATATTACTCATTTAAGTGAGAGAACTCAAAGCTTACTGGATTTCCAAGATCTAGGCCATTGACCTCCATGTGATCTTTTTAATCTCCTTACTAAATGCTCCTTCCATTACTGATACCAGTTACCTTTTCATTCAGTGGCTTTTTTTTTTTTTTTTTTTTTTTTTTTTTTTTTTCTGAGATGGATTTTCACTCTTGTTGTCCAGGCTGGAGTGCAATGGCCATGATCTTGGCTCACTGCAACCTCCACCTCCTGGGTTCAAATGATTCTCCTGCCTCAGTCTCCTGAGTAGCTGGGATTACAGGCCTGTGCCACCACGCCCAGCTAATTTTTGTATCTTTAGTAGAGACGGGGTTTTGCCATGTTGGCTAGGCTGGTCTTGAACTCCTGACCTCATGATCCACCTGCTGTGGCCTCCCAAAGTGCTGGGATTATAGGCATGGGTCACTACACCCAGCATCAGCAGCTTTTTAACATTTTTTTTTTTTTTTTTTTTTGGTAACATTCGATTACAAAACATCAGAGAACTCATGTCAGCCCACTGGTTATACATGAAGATATATCCCTCTTTTAGTGAACATTTTCTCAGATAATAAATGGAAGAATTGGCTTTATGTGTAGACCATTAAAAAAAGTAACACATGGTGTCACAATAATAATACATGGATTTTAGTTGTGTATATTGTATATATGTTGATATATAATTAAAAGGACAAGACATGTCTTTTTATTCTTAAGTACCATTCTAGTATAATTGGTTTTTCTTCTCCAGATAAAAATTGTTTGTAAAAAAAAAGTTCTAAATATTAAATATTCTTTTTTTATATATACTTTAAGTTCTGGGGTACATGTGCAGAATGCGCAGGTTTGTTACACAGTTATACATGTGCCATGGTGGTTTGCTGCATCTATCACCACATCATTTACATTAGGTGTTTCTCCTAATGCTATCCCTCCCTTAACCCCCCAACCCCTTGCTATCCCTGCCCTACCCCCTCCCCCACTCCCCGACGGACCCCAACGTGTGATGTTCCCTTTCCTGTGTCCATGTGTTCTCATTGTTCAACACCCACTTATGAGTGAGAACATGTGGTGTTTGGATATTCAATATTCTTGAAAACGCCAATAAGTATTGCATAATTTTGAAATCATGCCTTTATAAAATCACAGAAGTAAAAGTTACTCTAGTAAGCATGTTTATTAAAAATTATTAAGATTAGAAAAATGTGCATAACTGAAGTTAATAGAAATGCTTTGCATTAAAGATAAGATGGGCTGAATTACTCTAACAAGTAGACCCAAAATGTAATGTCCCACTACAAAAGGTTTGTTTCATGTCAGCTCAAGTACCACAACAGCGAGTAGGAAACGGGTGACTGCTCCATGCACTGGAGCTCTTGTGGCTTCCAAGGTCCTCTGGGAATGACATCACAATCCTAGTAAACTGGAATGGACAGAGAGCAGACACAAACACATGGGAGGTTTTATGGGTCAGGTTTGAAAGTGGCATACACCACTCACAATCTGTCGTCTTAGAACTCAGTCGCATGGGCTTGTAATTCTACCCTGCAATGGAGGATGGGAAATGTAGCCTAGCTGAGTGTCCTAGCAGAAGGAGAGAATGGATTTTCATGATTATCTAGCAGTTTCTACCACATGAATCCTTGACTTCCCTTAAAAATTGAGGTGACTTGAAATGATTATGCTATTAATATAGTCTAGTTTTTCTGATAAGCTTTCGTATCCACTCACTTGTTTGTAGGGCAGGGTATTTTAAAAATTCATTTAGTAACCTTAATTGGAGACTAAACTTGAGGACTAATGATTTTAGAATAGCTAGTCCAATAGAACTGGTAGGAGACCTGAGAGCTTGAGAACCTGAAAGAGTTTACAATAGACTCTTACTCAAAAATGCACATTAAGACATGCAGTACTCATACTGCAGGTTCTTAGAAACTTAGTGCCCACCTAAGTATGGTGAAGCACTATCAATTTAGAACATGAAGATAGATGGTTTATTTAGTTATCTGTAGTAATGTGCTAATAATTGTTTGCTTGTGATAAATTTATACTGCTAAATTATCTTATATGTTAATACTCATGAATAAAACCAAAGACCAGAAGGAGAGATTATCTCCTTGCTGACCCTAAGCAACCAAAGATAGTACAACTAGTAGAATCATGGGCTTAGACAACACATTTTCTTTCTTCTTCACTGAAATACAAGGTTTGTGCCTCAATATTATTTCATACTTTTGCCTAAAATATTTTAGATGAAGAGCAATGGGTAAATTTCATGGTCTATTTAAGTTACTCATAGTAGTTATCATCGTATCTCTTACCTTCTACTATTGCCTCATTAAGTTATCATCGGATATCTTACCTTCTACTTAGTCCATAAACGCTGTTACACAAAACAACTTCTCATTTAATAATTTCTACACGTAAGGCAGAGTGCTCATAGCTTAAATTTTGCTTTATTTGATTATATGGTACAGATTATTATTCAGCTTAAAAGGAGGATAATTTAAGCTAAATTACATCACTCTACTACTATTGCCTCAGAAGTATTTTAAATCTACACGGCCTATATATTGGTATTCACTTCTTTTTCTCTGAATTCTTTCTAGTTACATATTTTAGTAGTGTTTTCCTCCATTGTACAACATATTTCTCTTTATTTTATTTGAGAAACCCACTTTCCTTGTATCTGAGTTTCTAGTTTGAAGTCTTTTAATTTTAATGGAGTCCCACATATTTTCTATTACTTGTTATTGTTAATAAATTATTCATTATTTGTCTCTAAGATGATTTTTAAAAATCAGGAACTTAGAAATAAGGATTACCGTAACTTGTATGAAGTGGGTTTTTTTTAAAGCTAAAACTGAAAACTGCCATAAGTTATATTTTAAATATAAAATTTCACCTATAAGTTGATTATGCATATATTTCAAAAATGATAATAAAGCTTTAAAGTAGATAAATATATCCTCAATTCTCTGTTATGTATAATTTATACATCTCAGTAAAGTCTGAAGGACCAACACAATGTATAAAATAGTATGAAACTTGCACCAAATATTAAAAAACAAAGATTCTGCAACTATTGCATACTTCGTAAAAACACTGAATCACATACCAAATATATTTCCAATTTTATTTTTTGTGACACAGTGAACCCCTTGGCAGGTATTTCTCAGTAGGACAAAGAATAGCCACCAAAATGCAATTCACATTTTATAACAACTCCTTGATATCTATTGGAAAGCATCTTTATCTGAAACCCAATCGTTGTGTATCCTTGCAAAAAAACAGCAGAATGACCTCTTATAAAATAGTCTCACCTATTACATGTCATGCCATGCATAAATGAGAACATGTCTTAGAATATGTATGATAAGATTTGGTAGAGTGGAAATCTTGATACAGAAATGGCCCCTACTACACACACACACACACACACACACACACACACATACACACACACACACACACACACACACACACACACACACATCTGAGGCTTCCTTTTTTGGCCTAAGCCAAGAATCATTTAGAATAAATGTATCTGAAGTTAGTCAAACAAGAGGGCTGCCCATGTATTTTTGTTTTTCCTTTTAAATATATTTTATTTCTTTTCATCTTATTACCAACTAAAGCTACTAAAATTTCCTACCCATGGTTTAATGCTAACACGTTGCCTATCACTTTTGGTATTTAACTTTCAGATAATTTTAGAATTAGATCATTTTAGAATACACATGACAAAGATTTTTAGGAGAATATAAAGCAGTTTACAGAGTCAAAACAGTAGAAAACATATACACAGAGAAGTAGCAGACGATAATAATATTAAATTAGAGCCAGATTGTAGCAGCTATGTTGTTTGATATTTATTAGGGAGATGATAAAAAGCTATCAGAGTTTATTTTGAGTAGGAAATGTGATTTGAAATTTTAACTCCACTCTCAGTTAAATCGCAAGACAGAATATTTTATTTATACATTTTTTCTGCTGAAACCCATGGTTTTCTAGGTTTTGATGAATTATATTTTTGAATTTAATTAGCAAGTCTACAATGCATCTATGTGTCAAATCACAAATGCTTCTAAAGTGTTTTTGCTAATGATTTTTCAATCTTCAATTGAGGAACAAAGACCTTTCTAATATACAATACATTTTTTGTCATTTGCAAAGTTTATTCATTTAGTTTGCTTTGTTTTGCCTGATTAATTTTGACTGATAGCTGGTTTGTTTTCTATTCCAGGTTGTGGAGACTAATTTGGTTGCTTTTGACTGTCACTGGATCATTATAAATGAGGTAAATCTGACTAAACTTTATTGTTAACTCTGCGTCCTGTTTTCACATATATAATTATAGCATTTCCAATGGCCTTGAATTTTTAAGAGGAAACAGAACGTGACATAAACATTGAGCTTATTGAGTGAATGCTGTTTAACTAAAATAGAATGAACAGTTTTTAAAAATGATAAAGGCATTTATATGAGTAAAATAAGTGGAAAAAATCTTTCTCACTGAGTATCTCTTAGCTCTTTCTGTTGGCTCATACTGCCTGCTCAAGAAGATCATCTTTATAAAAAGTACAGTTCTACTTTGTAAGCAAAGTTAACTCCTCCCAGTGGAGTCCTTGTGTTCCATTTATATTTTAATGTTGTTTCTAGATCTGTTATGTCCACCCTCCTTACATGAGTATTAAAAAGTTCAGCATATGAATATGAATAAACAGAGAACAGATTTTTCCCTTTTCATAAGGAAGTACAACTGTTTTCAAATCTGTAGACTTGTCAAATTCTTGTGAAAGTCTTTTGATTTTGCAAAGATAATACATAGGATTAAAAATATATTACAACTTAAAATCCCTGTAAAATAACATTGTTCCATTAGCACCTGCCAGTCAGAAATGGAAGGAACAATGAGTAGATCAGTCATGGACAAGTAATGTGACCATGTAGACTTTTCCTCAACAAGACTTAGCACTTGGTTTTATCTGTTATTTATGAATAAAATTAATGTACTATTTATCATATTAAATAAAGAATTCTAGAATAATAAGATTTTCTTAGGAACAAATAGTATTTTTGGATAGGAATCCTGGTTTTATAGTCAGCAAGACAGGTTCAATTCTGGCTATAAAATTTGGTAGCTGTCATACCATGGATATCAGCTTCCTGGGCCTCAGTTTATTTATTTGCAGAAGTATAATAACAGTTACTTTGCAGGTTTATAATAAAAGTTAAATGAGGTATTATCAGGTACTCTTAACACAATGCTGGAAAATGATACACTCAAGAATGGAACTGCAATAATGATCATAACACATTAAAGTTCAGAGATCATTCTCTCATATGTTGTTTTATGGAATACTAAACCATATTCTATGAAGTACTGAGGGATTGAGGTCCATAGAGGAAAAAATGACTTTCCTTTGTTGACACAGAAAAGTAAAAATACTTTCCGGTTTCAAATTGTTTCTCCTACACTACACTTCATTGATGGAATGACCCTTTTTAGTTCAGAATAAAGACATTGAAAACATCTTACGAATCTGACAAACTTTAGTTTTCTATGAATTTTAACTGTATTTCTGATGTAAAAATAAGATAGTTTTTTCTGATATTTCCTCAGGCAATACGTATATGGAGATCTGCTTTTCAATGAAGTTTGATACCTTCTAAGTTTCTAGTATGTCTTAATTTTTCATGTAGAATTACTAAACGTTGAGATAGAGGGAAAGACAAAGCAAAGGGAATTAAACAAACCTCCATAACTTTTCAAATTCAATATTTTCATTTCAATTTTTCTTCAAGGAAACTAAATTTCAAGAAAATTAAACAATTTATCAAATATTCCACAATTATTAGTGATGATAATGGGATTTAAAATAAGTCTTTTTCCGTGTGAGGCTTTGGTTGGTTTTGTTTTGTTTGCTTTTTGTTATGTTTTTGGCTTTTATTTTAAGTTCAGGGTTATATGTGCAAGTTTGTATGTAGGTAAACTCGTGTCATGGAGGTTTATTATACAGATTATTTTTTCACCCAGGCATTAAGCCTTAGTACTCATTTTTCCTGATCCTTTCCATCTTCCTACTCTCTGCCCTTCAGTCGGGCATGTGTGTTGTTCCCCTCTTTGTGTCCATGTGTTTTCATCATTTAGCTCCCACTTGTAAATGAGAAAATAAGGTATTTGGTGTTCTGAATAGTTCCTGTTCCTCCATTAGTTTGCTAGGGATGATGGCTTCCAGCTTCATTCACGTTTCTGCAAAGGACATGATGTTATTCTTTTTTGTGATTGCACAGTATTCCATGATGTATGTATACCACATTTTCTTTATCCAGTCTACCATTGATTGGTATTAATGTTGATTCCATGTCATTACTATTGTGAATTGTGATGCAATGAACCCATAGGCATGTATGTGTCTCTATGATAGAACAATTTATACTCATTTGAGCATGTGCCTAATAATGGGATTGTTGGGTGAAATGGTAGTTCTGCTTTTAGGCCATTGAGGAAATCACCAAACTGTTTTCCACAATGGTTTATACTCCCATCAGCAATCTATAAGCATTCCTTTTCCTTCACAACCATGCCAGCATCTGTTATTTTTTGACTTCTTCATAATAGCCATTATGACTGGTGTGAGGTGATATCTCATAGCGGTTTTGATTTACATTTCTCTAATGATCAATGACATTAAGCTTTCTTTCTTATGATTATTGGTCACATGTATGTATTATTTTGAAAAATGTCTGTTCATGTCCTTTGCCCACTTTTAAATGAGGTTGTTTGGTTTCGCTTTAACTTTGCTTAAGTTTCTTATAGAATTTAAGGAATAGACCCTTGTCAGATGCATAGTTTGCAAAAATGTTATCCTATTCTGTAGGTTGTTTACTCTGATGAGTTTTCTTTTGCTGTGCATAAGCTGTTTAGTTGAATTTGATTCCATTTATCAAGTTTTGCTTTTGTTGCAATTGCTTTTGTCATCTTTGTCATAAAATCTTTGCCCATTCCTATGCATTGCCTAGGTTGTCGTCCAGGGTTTTTATAGTTATGGGTTTGACATTTAAGATTTTAATCCATCTCGAGTTAATTTTTATATGTGGCATAAGAAAGGGATCCTGTTTCAATCTTCTGCATGTGGCTAGCCAATTATCCCAGCACCATTTACTGAATAGTGCATCCTTTCCCCATTTGTTTTTTCTCAGCTTTGTCAAAAATCAGATGGTTATAGATATGCAGCCTTATATCTGGGCAATCTGTTCTGCTGCATTCATCTATGTGTCTGTTTTTATACCACTATCATTGCTGTTTTGTTTAGTGTAATCCCTGTATTATAGTTTGAAGTCGGGTAGCATAATGTCTCCAGCTTTGTTCTTTTCAATTAGGATTTTGTTTTTTGATAATTTTTATGGTTTACCTCTTGGAAATTTCTTCTACCTTAGTTATAATCTGATGGGATCTATTTATTCACCAGTTTTTTTTTCTATATTTTTATTTTCTGTATTAAAAAAAATCCACTAGTTTTATTTTCTATTTTTTTTTAAAAGATCCTTCTAATCTTTTGTTTTTATTTCACTTCCTATGTCAAACATGGGATAGACTACACAGATATCCTGATGAGAAACCAGCTAGAGTCATTTTACCTATTCATGTCAATCGAGCTGACTAGAAACATGTAGTGACTTCTTACCTCCTTAGAGACATGGATTAAGCTGGAGGCATCCCCAAGCTACAGCCCGCATGCAGCCCCCTCAGGCACACTTCAGGAAGGGGCACCTTTCATTGGTGGTCAGTGAGAGGAGCACAGTATGTGGCGGCCCTCCAACGGTCTGAGGGACAGTGAACTGGCCCCCTGTGTAAAAAGTTTGGGGATGCCTGAGAGGAATTGATGCTTACAAATGGCCATTAGCCTCTATTGGTTGATAAGATTACCAAAGAAACCCCTTAATTATGTTTTTCATATCCAATTTAATGTCTACAAGCATACCCTGAACTTAAAAGTTTGAACTGAAGTAGAGCTTCCAAGAACAACATGGTCACTTACCCACTTTTTAAGGCTCAATTTGTACTTTGGAAGAAAGGACCTCTTCGTATTATATAGGTGTAACCTGAATAGCATGTATTTCATTGGTAATAAATACTATGGAAAGAAGAGTAAACATTTATGTTTTATTGTATTTTTCATAAGCATTGTGATTCATGTTGTTAAACTTATTATATTTTATTTCATTAAATATTGGTAATGAAAATAGTCATTAAATGAATATACCATAATTTGGGCCACATTTTGCAAAATAAAACATCCATATAAACAAAGCAATCTAATAACTGGTAAATAACTCAATAATTGTTAGAAGTCTAGAAGATGATTAAGGAGACCTCGATTCTTTTCTCATTCTTCAAACTAGGTTTTTTACTGTAAATTGTCTAATAAAACGTCACCATAACCATCGCTGAAACCTTTATGTCTTTCTTATCTGCAGCCCTACTTTCTTATCTCCCAGCAGAGGTATAATTTCTTTTTGGCAAGTCACATTGCCTAACTTCTTAAAAATACAGTGTTCACAGCCCATAACATTTATGTTACATTGGTTCATACTTTTGTCTGAACAAGGTTAAAACTCAGATAATGAGCAAATATTTTCTGTATTTTCACCCCTATAAAAAAATTACTGGCCAGTGTATCCAAAATCAACACTCTTACTTTCAAACTATTCCATTCACCCACCTTATTATCTCATTCATCCACCTTATTCTGAAATATGCCTCAGAAAATGACTTTTACACTTTTCTTGCACACTTTTCATTTACATACTTGTTTATACAAATTTATAATGGATGAATTATAATTATCCCTAGTTTCTATAAAAGAAAAAAGCATGGATTTTTCAAAATTGCTAGAAAGCTAAGAAACTCTAAATGTAATAATAAAAAAAATCCCTCAAAATATGCAAAAGCCCATTTTGGCTGAACACGGAGAATATGAATCTGTCTAGTTTGGTTTGTGTAGCTATATTTTGTTGCTAATTTTAAAATGGAATGCAGACATTGATTTAATCTTATTGCATCAATAGTTTTTTAAGGAGGTAATATAAATCAAAGTTGGCATTGTGCATCATGATACAAATTGATGTAGGAACTTGAAAACAATAAATTTTTTTCATTTGCATTGAGTGTGCTATAATAATGAGAGGCTGTGCTAACTCATACGGTGTAATCAATCATATGTTAGTACTTGGTAATAGTATTTATCTTCTCCACACAATCAGTGGATCCAGCACAGAACAGCCTTTCCATACAAGTATTGTCATCCCTTTAGGGCCCTGAAGCAGATGGCCTAACATTTATTTAAGTTTTACAAAAGTTAGAAAGATGTGCACTGTTCAGAGCTGCAAGAAGTTCAATGCTTCATGTACCCTTCCATTGCCCAATAATATTGAATATGACCTTTATTGTCTTGATGTGATTTTACTAGCTTTCTGGTTTTTACTTAATTTGAATAGTTTAAGACATTATTCTCTGTTAATCACTCCCAAGTATTACCTTTAAGGAGACAGTTGTTGGTTTGGGTTTGAGTATTTTTTTTTTCGTTTTTTTTGTTGTTTTGTTTTTTGTTTTTTTGTTTTTTGTTTTTTGTTTTTTAAATAGAGTTTCACTCTTGTTGCCCAGGCTGAAGTACAATGGTGTGATCTCGGCTTACCGCAACCTCTTCCTTCCAGATTCAAGCGATTCTCATGCCTCAGTCTCCTGAGTAGCTAGGATTACAGGCCTGTGCCACCACTCCTGGCTAATTTTTGTATTTTTAGTAGAGACAGGGTTTCACCATGTTGGACAGGCATGTCTCAAACTCCTGATCTCAGGTGATCTGTCCGCCTCAACCTACCAAAGTGCTGGGATTGCATGCATGAGCCACCATGCCCAGCAGGTTTGGAAGGTTTTGTTGTTGTTTTGACATTTTAAAAACCTACATGTGTAGTGGATGCTTTTCATTTTTTCTAGTTTAATGATGAATTGAACTGCTCACTTCTAAGCTTTCAAGTACAAAGTTATCCTTCTGCTTCTCTTCCTGTTGCTGCATAGCCTATAGTTAGTTTTGTTCCATTTTTCAACATTTGCATAATTGAGTCATATTAATGTTAAATTTTATGGAAGCATCAAAGGGTCATCTTTGCTAGAATATGAAAACTATAAACAAATAAGAAAAAAATACACCACATAGTAGATGGCTTAATCTCAATACTAAAATCTGTCTTATTTAGCATTGTTTAACATTTTAAGGCATTCTGGTATCTAGAATTAAAATTTCAGGTATCAGTCTTTAGAAGATGATAAAATCTTACCATTCATTTATTAATTAGATTTTATATTATCAACATTTATTGAATACCTACCATGAGCCAGAATATTTGTTAGATACTAAGAGGCATAAGAATGGGAAAAAGGAAACTATTCCTCTGAAGTAGATTTTTTAGTCTAAATTAGCATCTAACCTAATGGATTTTGAGAGTCTTTTCTTCCCCACAATCTTATTAATTTAAATCTAAAGCCTGATATACTACAAAAATTCAGGAATGATTCACTTCTCCTAACAGATTTTTTTTTTTTTCTGGGAAATGGCTGTTTCTAGATAGAGTTGTATCCCCAGAAGATGTTTTAGCATTCTTTTTTCTTCCTTGGATCTTTCACAGTTCAGGATTCAACCCATATTCAATTATTAAAGCAAAGTGAATAAGAATATTTTGCTGGACATATTGACTTGATTCTTAGTAGTTTTTAGGTATCCTTTACTCCTAAATAAGTAAAATAGAAAAGTTAACTCGCTAAAAAATATTTAATCATTTTTATTGATTCTACTTTTATAAATTCTACTTTTATAAATATACTCAATAAAATAAAGAATATAAGAAGGAAAATAATTTTATAATCTGGGCTCTTTAAATTACTTAAAGCTCAGAAATGCTATATATCTTTTTAAAGATTAAGCTATTTCGTGGTGCTGGGGGCTGAGGAGAGTGAGTGCTTTTTTGGTAAACTAGTTCTTCACATGATTATTTTTAAAAATCTGACAGTTTAAACATTTAAAAAAAACAGAGCATTAGAATAATATGGATCCTAGTAGATTGTATAACAGGTTCATATTTTAATACACAAGTTTATTTCTGGATTTTTTTTTCATTTAAATGGATTGCTTTATAGATTATACGATCACTTGTCTTTCAGTGTTTATATAACATTGCATCTGCCACTCTTGAAATGCCTCTTTTGAAATGCACAAGTAAAGTTCTGTAAATATAAAATAGCTGCCTAATCAAGTTTTCATATCACTGTTAAACTGTTTTTGAGATCAGATGTCAAGACTAAAATTGCAAGTGAATTTTTTGAGACAGACTGTCTGTTAGTTTCATTCAGAATGGCAGATTCTTTCTTCCCAGAAAATTACTTTCTCTTTCCTTCCTCAAATAATAATAGGCAAAATATAGTCAATTCAAATTGACATTTCTTCAAATATATTTTAGTTGTTTAGGTGCCTGAGAACTTCATCTTTGGAAACCTGTAAAAGGTAATCAGCCCTTTTCCTTTTCTGTGGATTTGAAAAATGTCCTCTTAAAGCCTTCGGCTCATGATAGATGACTTCATCATTCCTTACAGAATCATCAGGAAATTAAATGCTGAAATAATGTATCTTTACAGTTTTAATTTCTACCATTCATAAATATTAATCTAAATAATCCCTGTTAGGAAATATGGGCTTGTATAACTTCTTCAGAGACTGTTTCTTTTTATGACATTTATAAATTCATCCCATAAACAGAGTATTGTGAATGAAGAGCGCCAAGTCTTCCTGAATCTTTGTTTATAAACTGAGAATAAATAGCGTATGATTCAGAGTATCATCTTTTAGCAGAAAATGAGATAATGAAGTAATTAGTAATTGCTTAACATATAGTAGATACTTATTAAATGTAAATTTTTATCTGGTATGCTGATTTGTAGTTCATTATGAGTGGGATAGATAGAGACAGTACTGTTTGATAAAAATGTTGATAAACGTTAATATTGCTAAAGCAAAAATGACCATATGTATGTGAAAACTTTGTTAATATTATGAGAAAAGTGGTACAGTTTTTCACTGCCTTTCAAAAGAAAGTTCCTGTCTGTATCATTTGGAATTAAAAAAATTGAAAGACATTGAATAGCATTATTCATATTAATTAACTTTAAAATATATCTGGTTAAACAGCCAGAACTTCAAATGGAGTTGACAGGACACCATTTAATCCTACTTTGTGAGTAGATTACATAGAATTTAAAAGTGACCTGCTCTTTGCCAGACAAAGTTTCTGGTGGCCAGTGAAATGACACAGACTAAAGGGAAAGGACAGCATTTTAAACTGAGAAAACCCATTTTTATGGCACCTTAAGGGTTGATTAAATGCCCAGAAATCCAGGATATTACACTAGATCTAGCTGATGGCAGGCATTATTTTATTTTCAGAAAAATCTATGCTTCATAAGGATCATAAATAAAGGATGATTTTTTAATCTAACATATGCTACAAGAAATAATAATATGTGATTAATCTGGTAAGGATAAAAATAAACTTTACATCTGTGAATTATCTTTTTTCTCTATCATTTTTCTGTAATAACTTCTTAGATCAAACATCTCTCTGCAGCTCAAAACTTATTTTGTGTCCAATCTTTTATTTCTGTTGCCATAAGAATTGGCTGAAACCAATAGTATGTTCATTACAAAGACTTCCTTGGTTTAAATTGTTCCAAATGAACACTATTAACCACAAGCTTCTCTAGTAAAGACTACCTTAAAACTAAAATTTGTTTTGATCATTTTTTTCTAATTCCATTTAGAACAGATAAAATTTGTTTAGATAAAATTCATTTAGATAAAGAGCACTGGGTTTCTCCCTCATCTCATCCTGATTCAGACTATATTAAACAACAGAATTTTTCATCTATTCTTTACCAAGAAAAACACACCAGTTAATATCAATAATCCTAATAAATTATTAGAAAAACTCCATATATATCCTTTTGCTCTACTTGCCTCAGTTAAAAGCCAAATTTTTCATTGCTAATTATATGTGTGTGTGGGTATGTCTGTGCATGCATGCATGCCCATGTGCATATGTTTAACTCTTACATGGCAACTACCTTCCTAGATACTCAAAATAGTAGGTATTTGAAAATCACTAATTAATAATAAACTATAATAGCAACTTACTTTGTGACCTTTTTGAACGTTTTGACCACACCTATGTTTCTAAAATGTTCGACATTATAAATTACAAACTTATTATTAATAACCATATCTAAATCAATTGCTCCATTTAGAATTGTTTAGGCACTAATGTATATAATTTAAAGCACAGAAAGCAAATGCAAATGAGTTGATCATTTTAATGAAAATATGTTGCTTTCATTTAGACGTACACTAAATATTAAGCTTTATGAGTTGTATTGGATTCAGAATATATTATAGTAACAGGATCCCTAACATTTACAGATAACTCATAATAGGTTTGCATTTTGTTACAGTATTAAAGTATTTCTAATTCTTCTACCTCTTATCTTATAGGAAATAAACGATGTGGACGTACAGGAACTTGTAAGAAGGTCAATTGGAAGGTTAACGATTATTCGGCAGACATTTCCAGTTCCCCAGAATATAAGTCAGCGGTGTTTCCGTGGCAACCATCGAATATCTTCAACATTGTGTGATCCAAAGGATCCATTTGCTCAAAATATGGAGGTATATTATAAATGCCAGGGTATTTCTTCCAGCGTGCTTTGTTAGGAAATTTTAAGGAGAGCTTTATGAGTTGCATTGGATTCAGAATTATGCATGTTATTTCTAAACAATTCTCCTCCTCCAGCAATTTCATAAGTCTGATGGGGAGAAAGTGCTAAGAATTTGCATCTTTGCTCCTTTTGATCTCATTATAGAAAAATTTCCACTTGTTTAATAAAAATATAGTAAGTAGAGGTTATTTTCTTTTAAACAAGTAGATACATAATATTTCCCATGGGAGAATTTGTAATTGGTACTGCTGATTCCAAACTCTAAATTATTAAGCTAATAAATGTGCTTGACTTTTCTGGCATAAGAAGGACGTAGATATTTATTCTTTCTAAACAGATTAGTCTCCAGTTTGACTAACTGCGACAACAACAAAAAAAGTTAGAAATCACAAAAGTGCTGCAGCATTGTGTGGTCATATCTAACTCCGAGAGGATATAGCTGAAACTTTCAACATCCAGAATACAACAAAGAATTTGAAAGATAAAAATAAAATCTTTGAACAGCAAAACAGAGACCACCAAGTCCCTGTAGCTTACTCATAAGAATGCCCTTCAACTGAAGCCTATTTCTTTTTCTTAAGAAAAAACCTATCTGGTTTTTTTTTCACCTTGCACTAGAGATCTCAATATGTCAATTTGAAGGAGGTCTTACACAAAGCAGGCCCACTGGACAACAGCAGGGAGCCTTAAGGAGCCCTCTCAAGGCAAGAGACAGGGGAAAAAATCAATCAGATAAACTAACTCATATATCCTGTCAGTATAGGACTCTTCCTGCAAAAACAAATCTGTGCCATAAAACAACTCCTAAAGGTATCACTCCATTGTAATCCCAGCATGTAAGTTAATATTTAAACAATAACCCTGAGATATCAGCAAATATTAAAGTCATGGCCAATTTTAGAAGTCGGCAAAACCTAATATATTTTAGAAACCTATTCTTTAAAATATTTTCTATGGGGAGCATTTTTACACTTTGAGATTTTCAGTTTTAACAGTTTGGAAATATAACCTTAGGAAAACTAGTTCCTCTCTAATAATACTAGGTAAATAAGATGATCTCTGATCTTAGTCACCCTTGAATTTAAAAAAAATGATTTACCATTTATCCAAACATTTCTTCTAATTATGATCATGGTAGTGAGTGGACTGGCTCCAGGATCATTGCCCTGCTACTTTCTGTTCCCTACTAGATTTTAAGCTCCTTTAGAATAGGTCCTTTCCATGGTGCAGTAGCTGCACCTGTAATCTCTGCAATCTTGGAGGCCAGGGTGGAGAATCACTTGAACCCAGAAGTTTGAGACCAGTCTTGGCAACATGACAAAACCACATCTCTGCAATAATAATAATAATAAATACAAAAATGTAGCTGGGTATGGTGGTACATGCCTGTAGTCCCAGCTACTCAGCAGACTGAGGCAGGAGAAGAATCACCTGAGCCCTAGAGGTTGAGGCTGCAGTCAGCCAAGATTGCGCTACTGTAGTCCTACCTGGGTGTCAGTGAATCCCTGTCTCAACATAGATAGTTCCCTTCAAGAACCCAGCATCATAAGTACCTATAATATGCTTCTCTAGCTTCTCTACCATTTCCTCCATCATACATGCCACAGTGCTTTGGATTTGTGTGAATATACACTTCTGAATGTAATTAAGGAGAAAGCAAAGGTCAAAGTAAGTCCTCTGAAGCCTTAACAATGTCTCTTTAAATTTCAGTTCCACCCTTAAGTATATGTGTATTAGTTCATTCTCACACTGCTATAAAGTACAGGAAAGAGGCTTAATTGACTCACAGTTCCTCAGGCCTGAGAAGTCTCAGGAAACTTATATTTATGGTGAAAGGAGAAGCAAACACATCCTTCTTCACATGGCAGCAGGAAAGAGAAGTGCTGAACAAAAGTGGGGAAAGCCCCTTATAAAACCTTCAGATTGCTTAAGAACTCGCTACAATCATGAGAATAGCATACAGATAATCACCCACATGATTCAATTACCTCCCACTAGGTCCCTCTTATCATATGTGGGAATTATTGGAACTACAATTCAAGATGAGATTTTGATGGGTACAGAGCCAAACCATGTCAATATGCTTATAATGGCCCATGTTTGCATTTTAACTGGTCATGAATATAATTGATATGAAAATGATAGAATTCTAAATAGAAAAAATAAATAATTTTGATTTAGAAAATTATAAAATGTCAAAAGTGTTTTGTCAAAAGCAGTATCAGAAAATGAAGTACAAACTTAAGAAAAATTATTGCCTGTGTCATTTAGGGAAAGCAGAAATTATTTTACAGCATGTTTGCCTAACAATATAATCTTTCTATTTCAGTTGATAAGGACTTCCATATCTGGGAACACATGTTTTATTTATGTCTATATTCCTAATCTGACCTGAAACAGTAAAGCTGTATGGGAAGCACCACCTTACTCCTGACCCATACCTTCATCGTGGTCCTGTCAAACCCACAGACAGAAGAAAACTACCTTTGCTTTGAGGATTTGTTATATAGTAACACCCCTCTTATGTGTGATAAAATGTAATCTCTCGACTGTTACTTATTTTAATATACATAGAGAAGTAAAATTTTAAAAAAAAAACAGCAAATAAGTTTTATTAGTTTTTAAATTAGTACCCCAAAGACTAAAACCCAGGATTAGCTGAAGTTGCAAAATAAATAGTAAAGAACACCTTTTAGCTAGAAAACAATGTTTTTAGCAATATATGTAACAAGCAGGAAATGATCCATTTACTGCTTGGTGGAATTAATCTTAGTTTGGCTGCTAATGGAGAAAAAAGAGAAACATTCTAATACTTTTGCTTCTGCTTTCTCCATCTAAGAAAAATTGTCTTCAAATTGGAAAGGTTAGAGTAAAATTCATTTAAAAAAAAGTAATTCACTGGTTTAGAAGGAGCAGGGAGATAGCAAGAGTAGGCCCACTGCTTTGAATTAATTTTGCCAAATATTGCCCAGGGTAGCCTGTCAGTCAGCATGGATGATCAAAATATGATAGCTCAGAAGTACTGGAGAAACACTTAGGAAGAGGACCAAGGTACAGGGGATAGGTGTATTGTCCCAATTTTTGAAAGAAACGAAAAAAGCTTCTCACAGAGTTTGGCATATTCAATGTTACTGTTTAGATAAACTGCAGAATAAACAGTTTAAATAAATGCTTTGGAGTACTTCAGATAAGACAACAGGGCTTCCTTAAAAACAGGCACTGCCAAACTAAGCCCTTATTTATAGTTTTTTTTTAGATTGGGAGAATGTCATAAAGCTATGTGTTGCATGTTAATTTTTATGTGGTGTTTGACAAATTTTTGCATGACATCCTTAGGAAAGATATTGACAAGTCCTGATAGAATGATGACACTCAAACATTTTCGCCAAAGAGCTGCTAAAGGCAGAAGATAGTGAACACTCTGGCCTAAGACAGAAGGAAAAATAAAGCTCAAAAATATATAAATCTCATTATTATATTTAAAAGTTATAACATTTCTGTTTCTATACCATTAAAAGTAATACTTCAAATTATTTTACAACTAAACTATTTAGTTGTATTTCTCCAAATCTTCAAACAAAATTGGTATCTAAATGAAACAATCAAATCTTAAACAGTATTGATATGACCAGAATATGCCTTAGATGTGTTCTGTAGCTTTGAGTACTTCCTGATATCTACAACTTACCACCACGAGTTCTTTTGTCCCAAGTTTGAGGATTGCAGAACCAGAGGGACATTCAAACTGCACTGATAAGTATTCTATTCCTGAAATGCAAGGAGCTCTCTATGGTCATTCACAAGATTCTATTTTGGACCTAGTACTTTTTAAAATGTCTATCACTACATTAATGAAAATGAATAAAACATGTCCATCAAATTTGTAAATGGCGTAAAGCTAGAAGAGAAAGCTGATGTTGTATTAATCACATTCCAAATTGTTAGTGTCGACTGAATAATAAGCCTAAATTTGAAATACTACAGATAAAATATAAGTTCAAAATCAATTACATGAAGCCTAGATGGAAGAATGCTGGTTTGACAGCTGTTCAAAACCTTTAAGTTGAAGGTAAATTCTATATGTGTATCATGCAAATCATATTTGTTGTAACCATTTTAATATAATCATGGTCTCTATGTCAGAAGAATTTTGCTAAGATAAAGAGATCTAATGTCTTACAGTATTCTCTCCTAGTCAGATCACATCTGTAATAATGTGTCAATCCTGGATACTAAATTTTTAATAAAAACATTGAAACACAAGAGAAAGACAGAGAAAGAGAACTAAGATGATCAGCCTAAAAACTATACCAGATGATGAAAACTAAAAGAAAGATACTTCAAACCAAGCCATAGATCAGGCGTCCCCAAACTATGGCCCACGGGCTGCATGTGGCCCATGAGGCCATTTATCCGGCCCCCCACCGCACTTCAGGAAGGGGCACCTCTTTCATTGGTGGTCAGTGAGCGGAGCACAGTATGTGGCGGCCCTCCAACGGTCTGAAGGACAGTGAACTGGCCCCCTGTGTAAAAAGTTTGGGGACGCCTGCCACAGATGGTGTTAAATATTGAAAGCTTGTAATGTAGAGGAGGTGGGTGTTGGTGGTGTGGTGATGTCAAAGAACAAGTGTAGTGCCAGTAAGTAAGGTAGGGAGAAATGATTGGCCATGTGTGAAATACTGAAGTCTATGATTTTAGAGGTGGTATATGTTTCTGCCCAGTAAATGGTCATTTGTGTTGGCTGAGGCTTAAGTAGAAGTGATTATCAGTATAGAAATTGCAGTGACCTTTTTAAATGCTGAGAGATAGTTTGGTATTATTGTGAAAGAGGATTCAGAGACCTCACAAATAAAAAATGACCAGAAGATCAGTTAATAATGACAGACAAAAGTGATAAAATGTAGTAGAGGAAAAAGCATGAAGCTCAAAGAATGGAAGCTTGCTTGCAAAATAAGTGGCAGATTAGGAAGGGTAATGAAAAGCTCAGAGAATATCACCACCACTTCTTGATCCTACAGTTTGGAATGTGGACAAATGAGGAGATGTAGTCATTTACTGGAAATGCCTGTCACGTAACAGGTACAAAGTATTCACCTTTAAGACTAGCATAGAAGCTCAAAATACATGTCTCAGGGTATGCAAAAGAGAATGTGCCACGCAAGTGTCAAGTTTGGATAGAACCCAGGTTACCAGATTTTTTATTTTTCAACTTCTGTCAAACATACCTAGCTTTAAAATTGACTTTCCTTTTCTCCTCTTTCCATCCTTTGTCTTCTTTTATTTAACAACTGTTTATCAAAAACCAAATGTGTGCTAGGCTTTAGGCTAAGTCTAAGGGAAATAAATTAAATTACAGGGAAAAACGAAGGAGAAAATATATAAAGGAGAAAAGGTGTAAGATGTACTATGTAAAGATTCCTTCCCCATCCAGAAGGAATTTATTTTTTGTGCAAAAGGCAAATTTTAAGAAAATTAGTATTCTGATGTGTTTTAAAGAGGTATGCACTATGTGTTCTCCTAAATAAAAAGAGACTACTCAACATAGTGTAAGATAGGAAAAGAAGATGGGACGTTGGTAGGGTAGGATTCTCCCAGCATGCAACCTTTGAACCAAATACTGAAAAATGTTAACTAGTTTGACAAAGGTAAGGAGATATCAAAGGATGCTACCCCAACAATCTTAAATACACATTTACCAAAGGGAAGAGTAAAACAAAGCTAGAGAAGTAAGAGGAACCAAGTTACAGGCAGTGGAACCAGGAGAGGTTAGGAAAGGCTAGATAATTGTATATTATTTTGATTTCCCTGGACATTTATACTTCATGTAACGTCTATCTTTTCCTGCCGGTCTTTATCGCCTAATTCCAACCTGACTGTTGATTCATGGACTAGTGTTAGCTGTAAGTGTCACTCTTCATTTATAGCAGATTTCAGCCATTCTTTTGTAGTCTATCTAGTAATCATTGGGCAAAATGGGAAGTTGCTGGGATGGTAGTGAAAATAGCCAGTCATGATATTTCCTTCTTAAGGACAAACACTGAGTGTTCAATATCTCTTCAAAAAAGTATTTTTATAAGTAATTTATAAGTACTATACATATAAAACGATGCTTAACAAACACAAATGATTGAAGATTTACATGGTATGTAAAAGAAAACTCACATGGTATTGTTAGGAAGCTCTTATCAAAAGCTGTGCATAGCATCGGACTCTATCTCAGTAGCCAAAGCTTAGTACTGTTCTGTGATGTGAGTAGACTATTTCAAAAATTTCCTCCATGATTAATCATAACCTGAGGACAGTCCACAATCCCTTGTGTTTTTAGGAAAAACCATAATAATATACTTTAAAAAATCTGAAAAATACAAATGCTTTAAGATGGAATTAATTCTCATCACTACATTGATTTCTCATTTTGTTTATTTTATATTGAGTTTTTCCTTCAAAGGTAATAATATAACATTAATCAGCTTTTATTGACCTAAGATCCCTTTTGGTATTATGTTTTCTGAGTAATTTTTAACTTCTTTGAAAAATAAGTACCTTTGGTGATTAACTGACAATATAAATAGTAGCTCTGACAAGACTTAGTTGTAAGAGTACAATTAGCCTTAGCAAAAAATTGGCTATAATTTATTTTTCAATCTATGAATTTATTTTACAACCTGTGAATGTGGAAAGAAGCTAATAACATGGGTACCTTAGAAGAACGTGTTAATGTAAACACACATTCACAAACAGTTAATAGTTTATGGTATTTGTGAAATCAATGAATTGCAATGCATGTGTATACCTATATAAGCTATAAATGGTTCTGTTATTTCATTATTTCATTACAGAATCTTCGTATACACAGACATACACACAGTTGACTGCTTCCTTTTTATGTATCTATGACGCTCATATATAAGATCAAGTTGGTATTTTTCCATCTGAATAACTAGAATGCCACAACTTGACATATTCAGAAAATATATTATTCAATTTGCCCTACCAATCTTAAGGCCTTAGATTCTTACCTCCTCAGAGAGAAATAAGGGCCAATGATTTTCCAAGGTCTGACACTAACAGCCTTATCTCTGTCAAAATTTCTTTCTTTCTTTTTTTAATCTTCTCTTTCACACCTAAATAAGCTGAAAAAGCAATTGAGGCATACAATCAGACAAGACTTCATTCTCAATGACAAAATTGCCCAGAAAATGACGAAAGAAACCTTTCGATTAATAAATAACCCAGCCAACCAGCTATCTACGACATGAACAGCAGCAGCTGAGACAATTGTTTTTCTCTTTATTCTTGATGACTGATGTCAGTGATTCTAATGATCACTTTCTAATGTCTTTTCAGATTTCAAACCTTTACATATATGACACAGTGCTTCTGCTTGCTAATGCTTTTCATAAGAAGCTGGAGGACCGGAAGTGGCACAGTATGGCGAGTTTGTCATGTATCAGAAAGAACTCAAAGCCCTGGCAGGGTGGGCGCTCCATGTTGGAGACCATCAAGAAGGTAACTTTTTCTTAATTTTTATGTGAAAAGGGTATGATAATTATTTAACATATTTTAGAAAAAGGTTTTTTGTCTCAAATATTTTTGCCAATTTAAAGCACAAAACAGTGTAATGGGGAAACAAAATATTTAAAAAGAAAAAGGTGAGAGAATCATCAATATATAAAAAGGGAGGCTTCCCCCAGCACTTTGGGAGGCCAAGGCGGGTGGATCACAAGGTCAAGAGATCGAGATCATCCTGGTAAACATGGTGAAACACTGTCTCTACTAAAAATACAAAAATTAGCTGGGCTTGGTGGTGCACACCTGTAGTCCCAGCTACCCGGGAGGCTGAGGCAGGAGAATTGCTTGAACCCAGGAGGTGGAGCTGAGATCGTGCCATTGCACTCCAGCCTGGGTAACAAGAGCGAAACTCTGTCTAAAAAAAAAAAAAAAAAAAGGGGAGGTTTCCTTATTTATTTATAAGGGAATTTTATGCAAGTGAAAAAAAATTGTGGTTGAAATATATTGACTATGTCATTAGCATTAGAGATACTGGAATTATTTTGCTGCCTGTTGCAAAGTACAAAAGGCTTTGAAAAAGCACACACCATCAACTAAGAAAATTAACAGTAGGTTTAATAAGCACTATTTCAGTTAGAAGATACACATGGCAAGACATTTGATGTGATGGCCTTTCATTTATCTCATGATAAGGATAGGATTCATAAGTAGATAATATGTTGCAGCATTTGTGAACTAGTTGGGGTAACTGATTGCATTATTCTTCTTCACTGTCAATGTGTTGCTTATCCTGTTGTGAATCTGTTTGGCTTAGTTACCTGTTCCATTCTCAGAAGGCAGTTTATGTGGTTTAGCTCCTTTCAGTGGTATAAGCATTCTGCAGTTTATTCGACTCTTTGTCATGTCATCCTTTCTGACATTTTTCCATTTGTCTTGCACAGCCTCTTGGATTTAAAATGAAATGATTAATAAAACAAACAAATTTCCCTATATTCTTTACACAAAAGAGACAGATATTTGGAAGTTTATATTCTTTATTTTATCCATCTTTTTTCTTTCTGCATGTATTTTTCTTTCTTTCCTTAAACCCAAAGAAAAATAGCTAGTCAAATGAAACATAAATGCCCTTAGAAAAGTCAGAGTAAAATATAAAAATTTAATATTAGATGTAAACTATGTGTACAAAAACTAGAAGTAGAGAAAATATTTTAGATAGTGAATAGACTGGATCTTTCTCTTGGTACTTGTATCAGTACCTTTTCTGCTGCTCTAACTGATTACCACAAATTGAGAAACTTATAAAAAAAACCGAAGTTTTTTTGACTCATGGTTCTCAAGGCTGGGAAGTCCAAGACCATGTCACCCACATCTGGAGAGCATCATCTCATGGCAGAAGGCCATCACATGGTCAGCAGCTACACAAGACAGAGAGAAAAAGAGGGCCAAGACTTCCTGGATAACTAATCCATTCCCATGATATGGGCATTAATCTATTCATGAGGTGGCATCCTCCTGTCTAATTACCTCTTAATGTCCCTATCCTTAATACCATTGCAATAGCGATTAAGTTTCCATGTGAATTTAGGAGGGGACACTAAAATCATAGTACTCCATCCCTGGACCCCCAAAACTCATGTTCTTCTCACATATAAAATACATTCATTCTATCCCTATAGTTCCAAAAGTTTTAACTTGTTTCAGCGTTAACTCAAAAGTCCAAATTTCAGAGTTTCATTTAAATCAGATATGGGTGAGACTCACATGATTCATCATGACGCAAATTTCTGCCAGCTGTGAAGCTATGAATTCAAAACTGATTACCTACTTCCAAAATGCAGTGGTGGGACAGTCATAGGATAGACATTTCTATTCCAAAACAGAGGAATAGGCAAGAAAAGAATAACTGGTCCCAAGTAAGTCTAAAACCCCAACAGGAAAAATAACATTAAGTCATAAAGCTGAGAAAAAAATATTCTTTTACTCTGTGTCCTAATTACTGGATACACTGGGCCTGCAATGCCTCAGACAACCCTGCCCCCTGGACTTCGCTGGACTCAGCTTCTGCAGTTCTCACAGGTTGGAGTCACATACTGTTTTAGTCCTACAGTTCTGTGGTCTTAGGGAGGGTCCCACTTCCATGGCTCCAGTAGGCATTGCCCTAGTGGAAACTCTTTGTGAAGTCCAAACCCACATTTTTACTCAACATTGTAGGGGCTTAGTAAGGGCTCTCTGTGGTGGCTTCACCCTAGAGGCAAGTCTCTATCTGGGGCTTTATGCTTTTCTTGGTGGAGGAACCCATAGCCACAGTTCTTATACTCTGCCTGAAGATGTAACACCATATTGATGCTGCCCCTGCCTACCACTTGCACTCTGCAGAGTAACAGCCCCAGCTTCACCTGAGTCCACCTGAGTCCACCTGAGCCACAACTGGGGCAGCTGAAGAATGTTACATTGGAATGTAGGGAGAAGAATTGCTAGGTGGCCCTGGACAGGGTGCCCATGATGAGTGCCTTGGGCATATCCCCTGAAATCATTTTGCCTTCCAGAGCCTGTAAAGGCAGGAGCAGCCTCAAAGATTTTGAAATTCCTTTTAAATTTTTCTCCTATTGTCCTGGTAAATAGCACATGGCTCCGTTTTAGCCATGTTAGTATATTTAGCAAACGGTACTTGACTGCACCTTTGGTATTCTCTCCTGAACATACCTTTTCCCTCTTTAAATAGTCATCCTGTAAATTTTTCAATTTTTTTTTGTCTATTTCTCTCTTAAATATAAACTCTTAACTGTAAGTCATTTCTTTCTCTCACATCTTACAATACACAGGTGAAAGTAGCCAGGCAGAAACCTGAGTGCTCTGCTGTTTAGAAATTTCTTCCACCAGATATTCTAGTTCATTGCTCCTAAGTTCTGCATTCTACAAAGTCATAGAATATGGCCACAATTCAGCCAAGGTGTTTGTTACTTTATAATAAGGATGGCTTTCAATCCAGTTTCCAATACCCTGTTCCTCTTTTCTGTCTGAGACCTCATGAGAATGTCTGTTACTTTCCATATTTTTAAGAGTATTCTGGTCACAACAAATTAAATAAACTCTGAAGAAGATTCAGACTTTCTCTATAGCTCTTCTCTTCCAAACCTTCACTAGAATTCCTCTTCAAGCTCTATTCACAGCAGTGCAGTTTTTTTTTTTTTTTTTTTTTTTTCCTAAGTCTTCAAGCTATGATGTAGTTCCAAGGTCACTTCCACATATTTGGGTATTTATTATAGCAACAGCTCCACTTATTGGTACAAGTTTTCTCTCTTGATTTGTTTTCTGCTGCTAGAATACCATGGACTTGGTAATTTATTAAGAATATAAATTTATGTGGCACACAGTTCTGGAATTAGAAAGTCCAAGGGCTTGGTGGTGGCATCTGACAAGGGTTATCCTAGGTGGAGGGACACCACATGGCAAGCAAACACATGAGAAAGAGACAAAAAGGGTACCAAATTCTTGTGACAATTAACCCACTACTGTAATCCATTCACGAAGGCAGAGCTCTCATGACCTAATCATCTCTTAAAGTTTCTACTTCTTAACACCATTACAGTGGTAATTACATTTCACGATGAGTTTTGGTGGGGATTTCAAACCATAACAATGCTGTTCCTTTTTTGCAAAGGATAATTTTAATGAGAATTTGGGCTGTTATCAAAAAAGTACTTGAGAATTAAATGTATTGAATATATTGGCAGAGGAAGGCTTTTCAACTGAAAAATGAATACGTCTAATCTAGACTCAAGGTGCTGCCAAAATCTTCCAGCTTTATCTATGCAAAGAGCTGGCAGGTATAAATCCAAGGGAGGTTGTTGAACGTGATTCTAATCCTGCCAATTTATTAATTCATGGTTTGGCTAGGATGCAGGAAACTGAATATATTTATTCACCTGAAGCTTTCGTACAAAGACAAAATAATAGTTTAGAAGGTTGCTTAGGAAACACTTATTTAATGAGAGGATCAGGAAGAAGAATAGTCAGACACCATAATATGTCAGTATTTCTCATGTAGAAATTCAATATATAAAATATTGCTGTTAGAACGTTTATAACCAAAACAATTATTGAATATAATAATTATGAAATTTTATTTTGTGGGACTTTGTAGGAAGGAAATTGAGGAAATTAGAAAGGAAATTTTATTTGTGTGGAAATTTTATTTTGTGGAAAATTTTATTTTGTACATTTGTCCCTGTCAGCTTCTGCCTCACTGTCGTGTTTTAAAGGAACATATCTGTTCTTTGTGTCAAGAGACTCAGTTTGAATAGTATACATGATTGCAAATGTTCAATTTTTTTTGTCTCACATTTCAAACTGACCTTAAAAATTGATTTAAAAAAAATTGTATTACTTTTTGCATCAGATGAGTGTTTTTGGTTATCCGATTTAGATATCAGTGCTGATGATACTCCACACATCAAGAGAAAAAGAAAGTTCATTACTCACATAGAGACTCCCAGGAAGAACAGAATGGGCCCAAACCGATTCAGGCTGGTTTGGGCAAAACAGAGGGAGTGGGCTGGGCCTTTTTGGTGACTAGGGGTTAGGGCTGGGAAAAGGTTCCCACTCATGTGGGCTGGAGATTTGAGAGGCTCAAATTTCCCACAAGTGTCAAATAAGTAGGTGTAGGATGGCCTTTCTTTATCAGCCTGTACAGATGTGGGGCCAAAGAAAGGGAGGGTAAAGCTTAGAAAGAAGTCAGCAGCCAGCAACACAAATGAGGTCAGGATCTTTATTACAATGGGAATATTCTAGTGATAAAATTTTTAATTACATTGAAGTAAATACAAAATGCCTATATTAAGGGCATGCTGCATGCATATTACAAAGGTCTGTGCTGCTACACAAAGTACAAGCAAGAAGAGAACAAGTTTCCCTAAATTAATTTATATTCTTATTATGGGGATCAAACAAAAGAATTAAAAAATGATGTTGTTGACATAAGTAGTACAAATGTCCAG